TGGGTGTCAGGTGTTCACTTGTGTCGCAGTCTCGCTGTTCCTTTCTTTGCCATTGCAGGTCGTTGGCTGCTTTGAGCTGAAGGATGTCCATTACAGTGCTCTGCTGGGTTTCCAGGCAGTCCTGGTGAGCTGGCGGGGCTCGATGTCTGTGGAATGTCTGCGACATACTGGCACACTTGTGGGAAAACCAGAGAGAGAGAGGTACAAGGCAAATGCAAGTACGTATAGAGGTGTTAAGCTATCTCTATGGGGAACAGCTGTGTAGGCCGTGTAAGGAATGAATAGCTGGTGAGGGGCAGCTAGTGAGGTAGGGTGCTATGTTTTTGTGTTCGTGAACACAAAGAGAGAGTTTGAGTAACTTTGTTGAGGGGGCTGTAAGCAGGGGTCAGCTGATGACCGGGCTATACATGTGGTCAAACTATTACTCAAAGCACTGATGGTTCACGGGTTTGGTCCCTATGACAAAACTGAAATAAAATAAGATGAAATCAAAAAAAAAGAAAAGGAAGAAGGAAGATTTTACCTATTTAGTTTTTTTTTTGCTAAGAAATATGGCCAAGCAGGTGTCACTTGTAGGTGATGCTGCAATAGACTCATACACCTAGGGTTAGACTGTTAGCTAAGCTAGCAAGAACACACCAAATACCTCAAGGTCAAAAAGAAAAAGAAAAAGAAAAAGAAACAATGGGAAGTGTTCTTAGTTCTGTCTGGGCCTACATTGTGTTGAACAGTAACTGCACTTCAATGTACTAGGCCTGTCAATGGAACAAATGAACTAAAATAAGGTAAAAGTAAAACGAAAAAGGTCCTAATAGCTGTAGGAAACTAAAAGGAAAAATAGATAAATTTATTAAATTAAGTCTTAGATTTAATTCAAATCAATTTAGCTGAATTGGTACATTCAAGCTAAACAAAGGTAAATTAATGACAATAAAATCAAAGAGAGGTAGAATAAAGTCAAAATAAAAATAACACAAGTAAAACCAAAGTATGTGGGGAGGGACCGACCTAACTGAATCCAAAGAGAAGGTGATAGCATAAACAGGAAGTGAAACCAGGAGTGACGGA